CGTTGCCGAGGTAAAGTCGATGAAGAGGTTACAATTCGGAAAAAGGAGGAGCAGGCCGAGACGCTCCTGAGCTGGAAGCAGTGTACCACGGCAAGCTCGTGGCGCTCATAGCTTCGCGTTTTTTGCCGTGGAAGGCAAGTTGGCCGATATTCTCAATCTAACCGAGTTGCAGGCGACAGTGGGTGCCCCGATGTTAGTAAACTCGACGTTCACTGGCATGGTATTGCTGTAGTCATGCTGCTCGTGTGTGCAAGAAGCAAGTTGAAGTTCAAGTCAGGCGGCAAGCGCGTTGACGATCTTTTATCTGGAATCCTGATGTTCGCCCTGGACGCCGAGGAGAACTGCCAGGCTTCGAACGGCGGCTTAACCTTCAAGTTCAACATTGGTGGTCAGGACAGAACCGGGCTGACCTGCACGCTCTCCGGCCGACTCGGACGCTGTCGTTTTTCGTACTAGCTCTTTTTTCCCTTCAAATTGGTCGAAAAATAAAGTTTCACTCAGTTTACCCCCATTGTCCAAACAGAATCATAAGATCCGGGCGGTTCAGTCTGTGTAATAAGTTGGATGCCTTCTCGAGGCTAAAAACCATTTTGGGCGTAGATCTATGCCACCAGACCGCACGTGATGCTCAGCACTTTGCGCGACAAAAGACGGTCTTGGTCTATTTGCCTATTCTACTTCACCTCGCTCTCCTTGCACCATATACCACGAATATTCACGTCGACAAAGGCTCTTATTGCTTTTCTCCACGTTGTGCATTTTGACGCGCCGACGCGATCACTTCACGACCACCAGAACTAGGGCGGCGGCATGCCTATACCCACCTTAGAGAGACACAGCAGGGACAATAGTCCGCCCACAAGTGCCACCGACGCGACAACTCCGCTGCGCCCGAGGCTCCCTAGCGTATTTAACACCCCGTCGTCAGGAACCTCGTACTCCCCTACCGTCACTCAAGGCGCACATTCGCAAAAGCTGAATGTCGTCACCCGTGTGGCCATAGAGGGAAAAGCAAAGCAAGGCGACGATGGTGCTGCAATTAAGATGTATCTCAAAGTGCGTGGCAGATGCCTCCGCTCCACCATCTCCTCATTTTCCCGTCTAGATTAGTTTGCCCTTAGATAGCATAACTCTGGGGTCCACTATTCCGCTCTTCTCTGGTGAGTCTACCCCTGCATATCATTGAGGTTACTAACTTGTGCAGAGGAGAATGTCAAAGTCCTTTCGTCTCAAGTCCATCCGCTGGACAACAATTCTGTGCCGTACGACTTTTCATCGGATTTGTGCCCACTCTTGCATCATGCTGCACGGGCTCTCAACCGTGAGCTGCATATGCTTTCCTTGCACGCATACTGAACTATGCATAGTTCCTGGGCGCTCGTCGGAATCCTACCACACCGCGTTCGGTCTTTCACCACCTGCCACCGAAGCCTCCGTCGCTGGTTCCGTTCGGTCGAGCAAGTCAAACGGATCCTCACACTCGAGTAGAAGCGCTACACCGCCTGTAGACACTAAATACACTGGCCAAGTTCTTGTCAGCGGTTACCACATCTGTTATGTGCTGCCCAAGGCATTTCCGGCGCGGTACCACGATAGTGACAACTATTCACGCTCCTCGAGCAGTGTTCGACGCTCCTCTGTTATAGAGCGGAACAACGTGCAATTCATGGCCGCCGTTGACATGTGGGTGCCTTACGCCTCCCGTCCACCACGGTCGCCGCATATGGTACGTTCCCACTCCCGTACATGGCGTGAGCTGACTTGCGCAGCTCTCTATTCCCACTCCCCGGTGTCTGCATAACAATATACGCCTCCGCATCTTCCCTCCCAGCGCCACATCCGCCTCCTTCGCGTCCCTTTCGTCCACGGACGAAGAGGGCGGCTCCTGGGACCTCACTGCCGACCCACACGTCACACGTGTCGCGTCGTCGCGCCACTCGCGCTCTGGGACATACTCATATGGCAACGTCGCTGACGACGAGTCGAGCGACTCGTCGACAACGGGGTTCTCCGAAGGCTGTGGGATCCAGGGCACGTTCCCTAGCGCAGAGCGCATCCGCGTTCGCTGGGCGAAACCGCAGAAAGCCGTGGGTGCCGATGATGGGCGGCGGCGGGTGGGTGTGAAGGACGTCAAAGGGGAGATGACATGCGTCGTGCTGGGCAAAAAGTGGGATGCACTGCAGAAGAGAGAGGGAACGGTGATGCATGTGGACTACAAAGGCACATGCAAGGGCGTTTGGTTCCCTGGTGTGGCCACGATGCTGGGGATGGATGTCAGTCTGGAAGCGAAAGGTTCGGATCTGTCTTGGGTACCAGAAAAGCCCGCTGGCTGGGACATTGGAGGAGGGACTGGATATACCGGCTATGATGTCGGTGCTTCTCCAAAGCCAGACGGTCCATCAAGACACGATAGTCTGGAGTCGAACTATTCGAACGGGCCTCAGATCTTCCTCAAAGCTGAGCAGAATCTTTCCCGACAGAGTTCAGCATCATCATCGGCTTCTCTTCTACGGGGACCGCTTCCTGTGAACAACGTTCCTGAATACTCTTTTGAAGGTTCGGGCCAGACATCATCACTCTCTACATCACAAACAACCTCGATGGAGTCTTCGTTGGGCTCCCTTCTTCCGTCCTCTAACCCTTCAAATGAACCGTCTCTCCGCCCTCCCGGGGTTCCAGTGACCATACACGTCGACATGAACAAGCTCACCGTGCCCACGTCTAAGAGCAACACCTTTTCATTCTCGATATCAGGCACTGTGCTCGTCACGCCGCGTCCTCGGGGTGCTCCTGCATCCCGTGGCTCGTCGCCCGATCGCGGTGAGACCGAATTAGACGGCCAGACCCCCCCTATTGACCCGGAATCGATCGTCGTCCCGCGCTTTACTGTGCTCGCGGCGGACAACGAGACCGTCTCAATCATCGTGCGCAATGATGTTGACGCGGGTTCATCAGCCACGCTGGAGGTGAGCAGCAGGACTCCATCCACCGAGTCACACCAGCGAGGGACGGGCCCTGGCAAAACGGTGCTCCAGCGAGGAGACTACACCAAGTGTCCAGAGCACGCGCGCCTCGCGATCAAGCCCGGGATCCTCTTTGCAGCCTCTCCCGGAAATGGTGCAACCGCGGCAAGCGGGAGGCTACATCCGCCGAGTCGCCCGCGGACGCCGACGTCGCGTGAGCGCGTGTCGTCGACTGCAGCGCCTGTGCGAGCGATGTCGGTGCTGGGCATGGCACCTGCACGCTTGAAGCGCGACGGCGCTTTGATGATCCCGAGCGTGCGCGCGGACGTCACCCCACTCGTCATCATGCCCGAGCATGTCGACAGTCGGCTCGCCGCGGTCCCGACCGCATACGCGGTGCACGTGTGCCTTGCAGCGCCCGTCGATGCGGACTCTGACTGGCTCGAATTTGGGCTCGCTAAGCATGCCGCGAGTGGGTCAATGGCGGCGGGTGCGGACGCGGGGCCGCCGAAGGTGGAGATCGTGGGAGTGAGCGTGGATGATGTGCCGGTGCTGTATGAGACTACGGTCGCGGTGAAGCAGGAAGAGACGAGCGTTGGGCTGCCATTTGAGCAGATGAGCGGGCAGGAATGGGTGAGCTGGGTCAAGTTGCATGTCGGCACGGCGGGGGGTGGACGTGTTGTAGTTGATTATGTGGTCAAGGATGTCGATGGACAGCCTACCCCGGATCGGAAGGGGAAAATGAAGGCAAAAGACCAGACACAATTCGATGTGTATCTGCCGACGTTTGGAATACCCGTCGGGAGACTGGAGGTCAATATAGATGGAATTCCAGGCAAGTCAAGCTCTTATTTTACTCTCATCTCTAATTCACTTTACAGGCCTCGAGATTTCGGCTCTGCGTTCCAATTTTTCCCATCATCAACATCTGCCCGCTGGGCGAAAACTGTTACATTATTCGCTGCAGGCTTTTTTCTACCCCGACATCTCTATGGACATCCGTCTGGATGGTCGCTCTCCACACCCCTTTCTACCCACCTGGACCACTTTCCGACATGCCGTGTCTTTGGCGGTTCTCATTCTAGTATCGGTATACCTCGTCCAGCTGAATTCGGCAGTATATGCGCTCTCGGATTCTTTCGAAGGATACTCCTTGGCAGCTGGTTCGGCATGGAACGACCGACCTGAGCCTGTCACTATCACCACCACCCTGGTCCAGACGACTCGGCGGCCGTGGTTCAGTGATGCCAAATCCGAGGAATCTGTCCAACCGACGGCTAACAGCAGCACTGCTGCTGTTTCGGTCGCACTGACCTCGCCGCCTCTGACGTCTACTATACAGACACCACCTGCGGTCCCCACCGTCACGCCCGAGTCGACTTCCGTCGCCCTCTTTCAGCCTCTCGCCTTCAACATCACCTGGCCAGAGGTGGGTGTAAATCTCACTGGCATGCTGGAAAAAGTGAAGACCAGTGCGGAGATGGTATGGCAGTTCTTCCGTAAACTATACCACTACCCTCTAGATCCTTCTTGATATCATTTTGGATTTTTGTTGTATATGTTTATGATTTAACATTTATGTGTTGTATTTGAGTATTTTACTAGTTGTAATGGAGGGTTCTACAGCCGGATAACTGACTATACACATCAGAGGCTTTAGCAGTATACTGCGATTCAACTGAATAGAAGCCCTTGAAGGTATATAGGTTGGAATCTCATATGAGTTAATTTATAACTGTGTGGAATGGTATTCCTCCAGCGCTGGCATGGGTTAAATAACTCACCACTGGTATTGGCAGTCAAGCGAATGAACTTTGCAATGCTTCTGCAGCCTAATATTTATTTTAACGTCCCCCAAGAAATTAGAGGCTCTACAGTTATATGTGGACTGGGGACCACTGTTACTTTTGTTATGAGAAAAATCATGAAGGCATGCGATCAAGGCAAGGACCATTATGTACTTGTACATAAGGCGTTGGCCCTGCCGGCCGCGGCGTTCATCGAGCAACAAAAATGTTACTATTTGCGAAAAATGATCGACACCAGCAGGATTTGAACCTGCGCTCGGAAACCGAAACAGATGATCGGATTGTTCGAATCTGTCGCCTTAACCACTCGGCCATAGTGTCTTGTTGAATAGAGTCCGGACAGCACTATATTACCACAAGCGACAGGTGAGTCTTTGCTGACCCAAACAAGCACCCTCGTACACTGTACAGTACGAGTCGTACTTCCCATAGTCCTGTTCGCGAGATTTTGACTTTGTCGACGTAGGACTGGCAGATGGCCTTGCACTGTCGGCGGTCGTATATGTTCAGTCGCAAGGGCATTTTATTGAACCATGAAAAGGGGATTCCAATGTCCTCGGCGCACGCCGGTCCTTCTTTCGGCGGCATTCATAACGGGCTTGCTTTCGAAGAAATGCTGGTCAAAAAAAATAGAGGTACTGAGTACATCGGACTCCCGACGCCGTGCCAAGTGGCAATGCAAAAAAAATCTACGGAGTCGGCTCTCGGGCGCTGAGTTGCACTTATCGGCGTACAGAAATTGCTTCAAGCTTCAATCGACCGCGACATCAATATGCAATTCCACCTCCCTCGTACCATCGTCACCAAACTACGACTCACTCGACCAGAACCGTGACCTCGTTCGAGCGCCAGAATAAAGGCTGCCAAGCAAAAGGCGAAGGAGAAGGCGGACGACTCTGAGTGGCTTCGTTCAAAGTCTAAGCGCTCCTGTGTCACTGACCACTCCAACTATGTACCACTCGGACTTGATCAATTCTTCCTTCTCTAGCCTCCGCCGAAACGCACTTTCCGCGCAACCCGCACAGCGAACCCAAAGGAATGAAACGCGCACTCCCAGAGTCGAACTCCGACGAAGAGTCTGCTGGTCCCTTCACGAAGCGCGCTACCTCGTACTCGCTGCGCTCCGGTACTGTGACACATTCCGGCAACGTGCCCAGAAAGTCTCGGTTGGTCCCTCACGGTATCTGACATTCCCAATCGTGACGAACAAGCAGCGCACGCAAAGTGGCCGCCAAAAGTAAGATCATGGCCACTGCAAGCTCCTCGCGAAGTGAGGACGACCCTAACGCCGGCAGTAATGAAGAGGAGGGGCACCATGATGAAGATTACAACGGCGTCGACGCAGACAGAGAGAATGGCATGCCTGGAGGCGCACCGATTTTGGGCGGCCTAAACGTCTCATCCCCGCCTCTTCCTAAGGTATCGGCCGCTCGTGATCCGATGCAGACGTCATCGACCCAAACTGGTTCGATCCTGGCCGTAGCGGACGTTGAAGCACGGTGACGCCCTCCGAACCTTCACCAACCGACCCGTACAGATGGAAGTGGGATCTGCAAGCTGGAGCACCTGAGACCGCACCAGTGCTCTTTCTAAATGTTGTTGCTATCGCCGCCCATGCAGCTGCCATTCGCTTGGGAAAAGTGCAAGATCACTCCCTCAGCTCCCTTATCTCCGTTTCGTGACTTTGCCCGATCTTCAACGGGCCGTTCCGCTGTCCACAGTCAGCTGCCCAAGACTGCTGCCCTGATGTTGTGGCTTTCGATTGCTCTGCTTTCTGTGAAGCATCAAGCCCCGATGCTCCAGCCAATTTGTTTTTGTTGCTGGAAGACTCCCCGTTTCGATACATTCGCAAGTTTCCGGCCATCTTGAACTTGACGCCTCTGCACAGGTCTGCCCATGGGCCAGCATGTGCAGCTCACCGTGGAGACAAAATTTTCAGATCTGTATAATGCAATTCTTCAGGAGTTCGTATACATGCGGCAGCAACGGCGCACACAGCCTTGGATGAAGTTTATTATTGGCCTGAATTTCACAAAGACATTCATCGGAGTACTCCCAGTGAATCTGCGAGTTGAGCAGTGTATTTTTGAGCGAAATAGCAGCCGTGGCGTTTTAGACAGTGTTCGTATCTGTCTTGGCCGTGTCCAAGCAACCTCTCTCAGCGTGGGCAACATGAAGCCTTTCAACTATCTGATGTCAAGACGCTCGGTCCTCCTCACCTGGTGTCCAAGTCTGATGGACCCTCGAAGACAAGAAAGTCCAAGGCGGAAGATCTTGTGGAATACACTCACCGCACTGCGCAGATCATCAGGCTGCGCGGCGACCGCGTTCACCACTCCCCTGACGGTACCAAGCCTAATGTTGTGTATTAAGTACGTGCATTACCTGGTCCAAGACAATGGATCATTGGTGGGCCGAGGCTCCCGTATATTCTGCGTATTTAAGGAAGCCTGAAGACGGCGTCCCACTTTTTGTCGGACCTTATGCTCTCAAGGTTTATTACGCTGATCACGCCAGTGATTGTTTTAAAGACGACCTTATCAATACGTCCCGAACTGCAAATGTAAAGAACATGCTCCTCCCGACTTGGTTCGTCCCCATACAATGTGTTCAATCAAGCAACTAACCCAACTTTTTGCAGGGAATAGCACTATGGCGACGCTCTGTCCGCGCGCGGTTTTCCCAAAGCTGTCAGGGCTCAAGCAAACCCCATTGTGCTGCTGAATGTTGTGAGTAATCGCGAAGAAGTGTTTACGCAAACCGACTTGAAGCGTCTGCTGGTTCAATGCTCGGGCTTCGAGGAATTTGCACAAGCCTTCATTGATCACATAGAAGGTGCGTCTTATTTTGCTTGTCCGTGTATGAATTGTATCGACTCTCGTATAGGCATTGCATCGCTCGCTGAGCAAGGTCTCGTGCATCGGGACTTCAGCATTGGTAACGTCCTGCTGAGCCAAGATACCAAGGCTCCCGACACCTTCTTCTCTGAGGTCGCGGCCTGTGCAAAAAGGATTTTAGGCGTCCCTGTTAAGTTCAAGCAGAAAGAGCTGGAGCTTCGAAAAGGGGGTGTGATCCACGACATGGACATGTCTGGCCATTTACGTCCCGTACCTGAGGCTCTCATTGACGATGACGATGATGAGAACACTGATTCGTCGACGGTGTCGGATGAGCAGAGTAATCGAACAAGCTCAATTGGACCCCAAAATGGCTTCCGAACGGTATACATTTCATGCTTCACTGGTCACGGATTATGCTGATAGAGTTGATGCAGGGAACGCTTCCGTTCATGGCAGTAAGGTTTCTTACGCGTGGCCCACCGCACGTAGTCTCCGACGATGTGAGTTGTTGATAGACTCCTCTACCCAAATATAGTGACCTGGCCGCTGCCAGCTGCATAGTCTCCTGTTCGTCATGGCTCTGTTCTTCTGGAGTCACGACAAATTTTCTGAAGTTCCTTTCCCTCACTCAGTGCTCCCGGGGAGTAAGCCATGGCCCCCGGAGGTGTTGCAGTGGGCGAACCGCCCGATCCATCCATCCCTCCAAGGGTTGGGATACATCAAATTTGGCTTTTTTTCCACACGAAAAGCACTCAAAGGACTCTTCAAAAGTTCCCTCGAAGGCTCTGACTGGATCAAAATTAAGGAATTTCTCTGTTTCTTCTGGGGACTATACAAAGCCCTCTGGCGCAAGGTGCCTGAAGCTGGATGGCTTGAAGATGGATGGTTCGACAGACGCAATGTGACACCGGAAGAGGTACAAGACGCGCTCACAAAGACATACAGGATTAGCAGGTACGCGGTACGGACGGTCGCTCGGGCACGGGCCCGATTCAGGAAAACGAGACCTACACTAGACAGTTAAAGAAAAAGTTGTAATACGCGCTGTTCGATGATAATACAGATATGATAACAAGGGAGGACAAGGCGAATAACGTTACTCCCGATCTGACGCCTTCTCCAACTGTTGACGTTTCCGTGAACCTCCGCTACAAAACACATCAGACTTAAAGATTGCCAGCGGCTTTCCACAAACGTACCCGCTAGTGTCCAGACCGCGCTTCTTGCCAGTTTTCGCCTCGTCCAGGAACTGGTTGAGACCAAATACATCGCCCGTGTCCTTCTCGAATTGCACAGGCCCTTCACGAATCTCCTGATCCGCTGCGCCCTCAAAGCCATGCTGGGCTTGGCCGAGCCCAAACCGGTCGTTATCCAATGCTTTCCCAATACCCTCTTCCGTCCCACCACCGAACGAATCCTCGTTGCCCTCTGTAATATTGCCTCGTGCCTTGTATATCGCGGCTGCAGCGGTTGAGCCATGGAACAATGGACGATCGTACAGGTTGTACGAGTCCTCGTCTGCAAAACTGCCCGACAGCGACTCCTGGTTGAACAGCCGCGAATCGAGCATGGACTCCTTTGAGAGAGTAGGCTTTGCGAGCCCGAGCGCGATCTTCTCAGAGATGTCGCGGTTCTGCTGCCGCGCCAGCATCTTCGCGCGCTGCTCCGTGCCCATGTTGTTCATGCGCATCTCGCGCTCGCGCTCGCGTCGCTTCTCCTTGCGCATCTCGTCACGGATCTTGGCGGCCTCTTCGTCTTCCTCGCTGCCTTTGTCCTCATCCTCGGATCCACTGCCGCCCCCACTGTCACTGCCATATTCGGCAAGCGACGATTTCATGGCAGCTTGGGTCGCAGCGGTGGGCTTGGGAGCGAAGGCCGCAGCGCGCGCGCGCTTGGCCACCATACGGAGGTTTTCTTCTTTCGAAGCCTTCTCCTTCTGTGCCAGCTTTTGTTGCATAAGTGAGCGTTGTCGAACCTCTTCGCGGGCATGCCGGTCGGCGACGAATAGAGCTTCTGAAAATTTGGCAAAATTGTCGTTGATGTGGACCTAAAATTGCTCGTGTGAGATGACTGTGAATCGAAATGTACAAGACCCACATCTTGCAGTCCTCGACCATCCGCTGCCAGCCGTTTATCGAGAGGAATGGTGAAACCCTTGTTGTTCTTCCAATTTGAGATGCAAGGCGGGATCATCCACTCTTTTTGTTCTTGCGGGGTAGCTTTTCGAGGTGGACTCCGTAAAACAGGCGGCGGTGGGCTAGGGGGTCCGCGCGGGATCTTCTTATGTTTGAATCGTGGAGGTTCTAACGGATCCTCCACCACCGTCGACATTTTTATAATGCGCTGCTTCAGGGCAGCCGAGCCGTTCTGCTGGCCGGGCGTGTAGCGTATGTAAGAAGTCTGGCCGACACTATCCGGCACATGCTTGGGTTGCGCTGCTTTGATCTTACCCGTCACCAGCTTCTCGAGAGCTGCGCGGGT